TGAGCAACAATTTTCTACAATGCTAAGAAATTAGTAAGCATTGAAATTAATTGCTTAGCTTTATACCTTATCCCATAACCCATCTGAAGCTAAGATTAATAAGTCATGGTCAGGTTCAATTCTAAGAACTTTGGTCTCGGGTTCTGCTGTCACCCACTGTTTCAGGTGACGATCTCCGATTCCCCTAGATACAGCCAGAGATCCCTGTATCCTCCAAACACCGCGGCATAAATCAACATAGCCACCCTGCAAAGCAAATTTTAATACATTAGAACCAACAAACCCAAAACACAAACAAGTATTTCAATAACCTGAGAAAATAAAAAACAACACTATGCCCAGATGCTTACCAGAGTCTCAATTCTGTCCCTTTCGTCATCTCTTGAAGGCCGGTGATCAGATGTTAGGGCCTCTGCAACACCGTTTCTGCTTATGACAGCACGACAATCACCGGCATTGGACACCACAAGGTTACCGTTATTAATCAGTGCTGTTACACAGCAAGAACCACCATTGAGGTCCTCTTTTAAGAAATCGGAATCAGTGTTGAGGTAACCACGCTTCACCGCCTCCTGGATATCTTCTTTGTGGGTAGTCATCACTTCATCTAAGACATTATTTTTTAAGTTATTTGCAGCAAACTCTGCGGCTTTTGCACCTCCATGCCCATCAAATACCCCAAAAAAAGCCTGCAGTGATCATAAAACAGACTGACATGTTAGATTTTATTCTCCTATCGTGACTCATATCTTTAGCTCATTAAACATGAAAAACAAGAGTACATTCAGCAACCCTCAAATATCATTACATTCATCATGATCTTCCCTAATTTCTATGTTTCAACTATCTATACACAACACGGGTAAGTAATTAACACTTTCAACTACATATTGTCCAACATATTAAGCATTGAGATAACTTCATAACAATTACTCAAACATTGAATTAAGGGCTTTCCATATCTCTTTATAAACCAACTTGAATATTTTCCTAGCAGCTACTTCTATAGCAAAAAAAGTCAATAAATACAGCATATCACAACTTCACAAGGCAAATTCATAAATATCCAAAGCTATTCTAACAATTTAATCAGACCCAGATCAAAATTAGAAAGAAAGTTTCAAACTTTCCATAACCCCATGTCCCATATACGCACCAAACTCATAACCTCATCAATCACTCAGCATATTCAAATCCAAAATTAAAAAACAAATTATATATAAACCTTACCAGTTTTGATTCACCGAGTATATTATCAGCAGCAGAATAACGATCCTCCATGTACTCCCTCCTTCCTCTCTTACAGTACACAGAAAACCCATCTCCTTCATCCTCCACCACATCCCTAGCCACCGCAGACGACGTCGCCGGAACCTGAAGGGTGAGAGAAGAAACTGGTATATCAAGCCTGGCCGGCCTCTTCCTCTTCAAAACGGGGCCGTTTGAGGAGGTAGGTGAAGCAATAATGGGCTTAGAAAGTCGAACCCGTAAAGGGGAAAACGGAGAAGAAGTAGAATTAGAAGGAGAAGAGGAAGAGAACGTGGTCACAGAAGAAGAGTAAGAGGGTTTGAGATGAGAAAGAGAAAGTGTATGAGAATCCGGAGAAGAAGAAATGATAGAAGGTTTGGTAGAGAAAATAGAAGAAGAGGTTGAGAACACCGGCGAGTTAGAAACGGCGACGGAGCACGACATGTTTTGATAAAACGTTTTAACGTTTGAAGTGGTGTTTGTTATATTTTGGTTTCTTGTGATGAAAATAAGAAAGGGGTATTTAAATGAAAATGAAAAAGAAGTGTTGATAGGGTCGTAATAGAAATTGGTGTAGGAGCAATTTGATATGCGTGTGAATAGGGTGGGATGACTATCACACTCAATTTCAGAAAGGATCTTTGACCATTCTATAACCACTCTTTCCTCGTTTGCTTCTACTTTACCATTACTTCAATTTCTCTGCATTTTATGTCCAATTGTAATGTGTGAATTAATTAAAGAAATTAGTATGTGTATTGATATTTGATAGTGTCAAATATATTATTTACATTGAATGATAAGTAATAATGTGTTAACCATGTAAAAAAAACTTTTATCATAAGGTGTACAACTTATTTTCTCAAAGATATTTGTGTTAATTTGTTTTTTTTTTTGGGTTTTCGTAAAAATAAAACATTAAGGATGTGGATAAGGATGACAATAAAAATCGAATATGTTTGAATACGACTGAACTCAACCTTAATTGAACATGGAAAATTTGTTGTGATTCAGTTTATATGAGTACGATTTTCGGATTCGGATTTTGTAAGCTTAATATCCTACCATGAACTCAACTTGAACCCGATTATCATTTAGAAAATTAATAAATAATATAACACACCTGAAATTAGAGTAATGTAAAGCTACATGTATGTTATATTATTTTACTTGTTCCACTTTTGAACGAAGCTAATTTACCAACTAAAGGAAGAAGAGGGTGCAAAATGATTTTACATAGAATATTCATGAATAATATAGGTTTCAAGCGGGTTCTCGTCGGGTTCGGATTACACAAAACTCAACTGGATTGGGGATAATAGTATTATTTTAAACCTCACTCAATTAGGGTTTAGGTTACCTGAAATCCGACAAGATCGAGGATAATACTATTGTTTTCAACTCCGCTGAATAGTTTCAAGTTTGGAAATTCAGTTTCGGATAAGATAACTATAAACATGATTCTTATTTGTCTTGTTGTCATTCCTAATTAAGGATAACAAATTTAATAAGATGATTTATCATTACTCTAGTGATTATATTGATCATATTTCATTACTCTATTACATTATTTTTTAGGAATATTACTCAAGGAAAAAGAAAATCCAAATTTAAGTAAATATTATTTGTTTAAGAAAAGTGTCTTTTTACTCATTTTAATGTTGTTAATTGTACCAAATGTTTTTATAGTTAATGACAATTTGAAATTGGCAAATCCACAGATAACTAGTAATGAGTCAAAATTTGAGAAGGAAAAGTTCCCAATTCCCTTTCATTAATGCTTGAAATTTGGAATTCCCTTTTTATATTTCTCGTTTTTAAATATAAAATTGAAAGTTAAAATTTTGAACTCAATTAAAGGGCCCCAATCACCAAACATGTTAGATCAGCTAGGTTATTCCAGCTTAAGTAGAAGTATTGGGTTCCAACCGAATTTGAAAATATTTTTGATTTGTAACTTTAATCAAAATGAATATTGGATCACTTTGACTTTGGAAAATTATAATTCAGTCATTTAAATCCGGTTAAATCAGAATAAACTGAACGATTCACATAAAATTAAAAAAATGTGAAACACTATTGTATTATTTTGTTTTACTACACTCCATAAAAAATGGAAAAATGTTATTTCAATATAAGTATACATGATTATTAATCATATAAAATTTGTACTTATATATAATTATATATTTAAAGATAATTATTAATTATATATAAAATCATTTACTCACCAACATATTAATCACTTAAACTGGATAATTAAATGATCACTTATAGCACAACTAGCCCAATCATATTATCGTTTCCTTGACTTAGCATAAAGTTGTTGTCTCTCACAAAATATTTGTAGTCTAATTAAATGATTAAGTAATGATTATTGGAAGCAGGCACTTGATATAGTGATCAAATGGCACTACAAATGATAATGAATCGGGTGAAAATAGGTCACGTCAAGTTTTGTAAATGTTGTATAATTGTTTTCAAATTTGATTTCCAAATTTTATTTTATGTAAAAATTATCAACTATTCATAATAATAATCTTAGTTTAGACCAAAACAAATCACCTTTTTTTATGACACTAGTGATAAATAACTAATCTTATCAAAGTATATGATTATATCAATCGATCTCAAGAATCGAACCATTAATTGTAAATTCAATTACTTACATCACTATTATATATACATATAGGGTTTAATACAAGTTAGTATTGTATACCAAAAGATTTGAACCAAAATATCTTCTACGTTTTGTTTAAAGATGTTTTAATTAAAGGGATAATTTTGTAAATTCGCTTTCTCTCACCCCACTCCCCTAACATTCTCTTCATCTCCTCAACATTAGAATTGCACTCCTTTGTTTGTACTTCTATTTAATTTATAGGAATTGACACCTAAAAAAAATGGGAATGAACTGAATAGTTAAAATAGATTTAGAGGAGAAGAAGAGAATGTTAGGTTTTCAAACTTAAAATAATTGAAATGAGGATAAAGATTGAGTTTTGGGGGTGAGGTGAGAGAAAGCGAAATTATAAAATTACCCCTTTAATTAAAACATCTTTAAACAAAACATAGAAGATATTTTGATCCAAATCTTTTGATATACAATGCTAATTTATACCTAACTAAAAAACTACATTCCCCTTATTAGGGAACCTAATATATGGGTATCTCACGTACTTACATACATAGGTTTTGGTAGCACTGAAAAAATTGTGCAATCAAGTCCTTATATATATGGGTATCTCATCATCAGCCTATTTGAAAAAATTTGCGATCCACTTATGAATGAAGTATAATATTTATTTATATACTAATATAAAGGCTTATACACTATCATTCATTTATATAGAGTTATTATATAAAAAAAACTCTCTTGCACTATCTCTACACATTTTTTCCCAAAATGAAATTATATTGTTAAAAAGAAATGATATATCTTTGTTAATATCAATGTTAAAACACATTAGTAAGTGGATCCCACCCATGATCATAAAAGATGAAGGACTAACTTATATTTTCAAGTTTGTTCTAATTTAGATTATGTTATATAATTTTACTTTTGCTCTCCACTTTTCTCCACCTGTGACTAACTGCAGATTACATGTCCTTGACAGTGGGAGTAACCCCAACAATAGATTGAAAACATTTATCTACAATGTGGTTAAATCTAAGGATGCATAATATTGCTATTAATTTCAAATTTAAGTAGGGAGAAAGGAAGTAATAATAAATCAAATTATATTTTTAATGACATCATCAGCATGGAAAATTATTCTCATTCACAGCAATTATTGCTGTGTAGGAAGGTGTCCTAAGATTATTCCAATTTCATCATCTGATGTGAAATAAAATAGAGAACTGGTGATGATAAACATTTCTGAAACAATACGTAAAACAATATTAAACCACAACATTGAAGTATATAAGATCCATACAATGTGAATTGTGAACATACAAAAATAAATCATCAACAAGAAAAGTCTCAAATCACATTTATCCATACAGCAAACCAAATTCAAAATAGAAAAAATATTTGAACTGAGAAAACTATAATAATGTGTAGATTCAGACGCATATAAATAGATTTAACTTCACAAAATTGAACAATTTATCTCAGATCAAGTGTTGGATTATATATTTTGCATCATCCCTATCTACCAAAGCCACAATAACCTAAACATTTAAACAACTAAAAACAACATCTCAAAGACTTTAACAAATACAACTAACTACACAAATTTAAGTTTGAATTGCAACAAGATTACAATGAAAAAATGAAGACTAAAAAATGGCAGCAATATTCGTGAACTCAGTCCCTTAGATGTTCATAAATGTTTGCGATCATGGCCGCAAATCATTACAGGTCTGTAGGCTCATCACAGTTCACAATTTACACACAAGGATAATAAATCGAGGAGAAAAACGAACAGAATTAAACAGAAAACGAATCTGACTATTGATAAGAAATATAGATGCCCCTTTGTACTCCCAAAGCAACAGAGATGTAGAAGGGAGATATAATAAAAGAACAACACAAATCGATTTTGCTTCAAGGGAACGAGTTGAATGGGAATGGAATTAATCCGCACCAACCAGATAGCGAAGCATACTACGAATTCGATATTCAAAAAACTAATTCAAATGAACCTGAAACCCTAATTTTACAAACCCTAATTAAAGCTGCGGATACGAAAAAGAGATCCTGAATGATATATTGCAATAAGGGTTTTCTTGTGGTATTATATAGATTGAATGGTTGATTCATTGGACGGTGAAGATGAAATTACTTTGATCGAGTGGTTCGTATTGTTTTTCTGTGAAAATGGTGAGTTCAAAGTTCCTAGGTTAACCCTAACAAGCCCAAATCCACGCTTACGGCCCAATAACATTTTTTAAGAATGACTTCCGAAAAACTTAGAACATATAGCTATATATGGTGTTTCATTTATTAGTACATATGAAATAGGAATAACAATTAAACAATATCTGATTTTATATTTATTTTTTGTATATAATATAGAAAAAGTTGTATATATTATTAGTCTAAGAGTTTTATACACTATCAATTAGGAATATCAATGAAACTCAAACTAAAGGGCACTCGCCTGAATCCAACTCGAATTTAACGGGGAAAACATAATATGATTGATTTCGAGTTTTAACCGAGTTCAACTTTTGGGTTCGGGTTTCCTACAGTTGATACCCTACCCTGAACCTACCATAATTAATATATATAAAATTATAAAATTACACATAAATACAAATATAAAAGGTATATATATGTATAAAAATATATGTTTCAGATGAATTTTCATTGGGTTACATAAAACCCGTTCGGTTTGGGGATGATATCATTGTTTTCAACTCCACTTAATTTGAGTTTTTGAATTTCAGGTTCGAGGTTGGTTAAATACAAACACGACATCGATCTGTTCTATTGTCATTCCTAGTATCAATAAGCGATGAATGATATACTGATTTACACTATGGTGTATAGATATTTCATACTATATAATATTTGTCTACCAATATGTATCACCCATAAGAAATAATCTTATTATTGGACCTGAAAAATTCTCATTATGGTTGTATAAAAAATCCCATTTTCAAAACCCTAAGTAAGATATTTATATCACACTACTAGTTTAACTAATGTTATATATTGAACTTAGGTCCCTTGTTATAATATGCACCAGATATAAGCACTGTTAGTTGGGGCCATGGATGTGCTAGGGTTTGTAATCCTTATTCTCTACTAATATATTGGTAGCCGCTCAACGCTCCCGGATACGTAGACATAATTAGCCGAACTTCGTTACCAAATTATTTGTTTCTTTTCTTCTATTTATCATATACATTATTTGATTGCTTATGACCAACGATGCACAACAACCGTTTTCGTTGCACCAACAGCTAGTGTTGTTATACACGCAACTTCAACGTGTCGCTGCATGCTACGGATATTATTTGAAGGGCTTCTTCTAGTTTCGTTTTCATGGCCATGAGTGTGATTTGTTGGAGCTTACTCACACAACAAAACTATTATCTGTTTATTTATGCATGTGAAGGCAATGACGATATCCTCAAGGGATAACAAACAACAAGGCTTCTTTGTCAACAGTTTCATATCTTAGAATAAATATCATTGTTGTCGGTGTCTATAGTAACATGTGGGTTATTGCATCCTACTTTATGTCAACCACATTTTAGAAATTGAAGAAGTTCGAGTAGAACTTGAATCAAATTGAAGAAGTTCAACGAGGTTAATCTCTAGCTTTTAACAGTAGGTTAATTACTCTCTGGTCTTAAAAATAATGTTGATTATATATATAATTGTGATTAAATTGTTTTTGCTTTTAGCCGGTTGAATAGTTGAATGGCAAAATTCATATTAATAGTTGAATGGCAAGGTCGAGTATAGAATGTCACTGGAGTATTTTCCTCTTGGAATATTTGATGTGTAAGTGATGTAAATTGAATATTTCAAGTCTGGTATTAGGGAAGAAATGAATAAATAAAAAAGTGCATAAGTAGATGGAGGTATATTGAAATTTTTTGGTAAAAAAGTGGAGTTAAACAAATATACATGTTTCACTCATTTAGTCCATTTGTTAGATAGTTTGGATTCTCCGAGTTCAAAGCAGATGGTTCGATTGAGATGAGAATTACAATGTCGATAGATTCATGTATAATTTTCGTATAGCTAACGATGTAGAGATCAGTCGTCACACATGTATATATAGAGAGTTGATCTCCAACTCTTTCGTGTATGGAATCCTTGTGTTGAAAAATTTTCAATTTAGACTTCGTCTACATCTAAGAAGGTATATATATATATAGTTGATCTCTCATGTATCAAACACTTGTAAATAAATAATGAAAAGGTTTTTGCTGGAGGGAGAGTGGCCATATATGAAGAACTCAACTTGAGTGAAAAAAATCTCACATTATTAAAAGTCTATAAATTAAAGAGTATATAAATATAGGTGGTGTTAAGTTTAATTACATGCTTTCTTCACTTCATCCCTTTTCATTAAATATTCTTATGTTTAAGGAGTTATAAGAAATATTTGATAATTAGGGGAAAAGTTTAAAGAATAAAATGAAAGAGATGGATGATAAATTTAAAAACATGATAATAGTGCACCCACTCCCATTTGTAATCCACTAGGTCAATAATTTTCCAAGATAATATAGTTTTTAATTGGGGATAGCAAAAAGTGTAGCAAGACAAAAGGGATAAGCTTAAATATGTGATTCTGTGAGACACACAGCATGTATGCACGTGGGTTCTTTGTATGCAATTATAGTGTCACCAGTTAATTTTTAGAGAGAAGTTAAGATAAAGATGAGTATTCAATCTTTCACAATATTTCATGTTTTCAAGTTTTTTCCTTTTATTCCCTAACCCCCTCTCAAAATCAACTCACTTACAAAAAGAGGGGGAAAAACTAAATTGCAACCAAATACGAGTTAAGATTTTCTTTATTAATTGAGAGACAAGTACTTTAAAAAACAAATGAAAATATAATTTTCAATAATATATTTATCCTTCTAGTTATAATGAAATTACAATTTTATCATTAAAAACAAAAACAAATACATGCAAGGAGAAGATTCTTGTTCAACCAGTTATTGGAAAATGAACTCTACATAACCTCTAAAAGTCACTAAGATTACTATGCGAAAAAACGATATTGTTGAAGAGGTGTTTTTCACAAATACCATTGATGACTAATTCAATTCATTCAATGGACAAGGACCTGGTGGTATTTTGGAAAAACAATTTCTGTTTTTTTATTCTTAACTTTTTACCATGGAAATAAAACATGAGTGTGTATTAACCAATTCTGGCCCCCGAGTTGGCCAAAAGTCACTATAAGCATAGAGTAATCACACACATACAATAGAAGATGAGTCATACTCCAATTCTGGAGAAAAAAGTTATCTGGAAAAAAAAAAACACAAAATGAAATAATATTTATATTCTTTTTAATTATATTAAAATTATAATTTTACTAAAGGAGAAAAACTTTTCTCTGTAATACCGGGGAGTTCTTGTTCCTAGATAGATATAGAAATGATTATTCTATATTCATTAAATAATTCTTTTAGACCAAAAGTGTAAAGAAGATTATTTAAAGAAAAATAATAGAAACTTTAGTTTGAGAAATGATTTGTTTATGTATTTAGAATTCTCAATCTTAGTGTTTTAAAATTATTTTTTATTCTTTATAATTCTTTTAGGACATTTGTTAGCATAAATCGTATATAAGATATGTGTATGAAAATTAAAAGTCACAAAACTGTTCTAACTTCAACTTAGTATTTCTCTCCTGATCAATGGGGAGAAATTTGTCATATTCTTAAGTATACATTTTTCAATAGTGTTTTGACATGCACATCACATATGAACCAACGTATATCAAACCTAATTAAGATCTTAGGTTAGTTACTTTGAAATACACGTAATTATATGTTTCTTTCATACCAAAAGAGAAAAAAGATTGATACCAAAGTATATTATTATGAGAAGTGTAAACTAACTCATCAAGTAATATCAATCTTGTACTTATTGGAATGCAAATTTATTGAATTATGTATAAAAAAATATTTATGAAATCGTTCAATAATTCATTTAATTGGTCCCACCCAATAAAACTAAGTTTGGATTGCTCTAAGCATAAAATAGGTTTTACTTCATATTTGTAAAAGAAATAGACTATTACGTAGAAAATATCTTTAATATAGACTTTAATGATGGTGGAAGACTTTATATACTTAAAGATACATGATAAACAATACTATCATCATATATAGTCAAAAATTTTCATGTCAAATTATCAAGAATAAATGTATAAAACTAGAACTTTAGAAGCGTACTTTAATATATTCATATAGAATATAGTGAATGAATTTTATATCATTTTTTGTCATGTATTCACCGACTCTATATCCTTTGTCTTGTATGAAAATACATATTCATAATAGAACATATATGTTGTTTGACATTCCAATTGTAGATCACCATTAGCCTTTATTTATAAGAAGTGCATACCCTTACACGAAGGGATATGCTACTTCATTTTCTTATATATTTCCAATTTTGTCCATCATAAAATATAAATAAGACTTTAGGTATCTACACAATAATTTTCATGATAACTATGTCTATAGTCATGTATCTTACTTGATCACTTTAATTTGATTACTTAAAATAATAACCTTAAACACTTTTAAGCATTACATGTGTAACCCACGATTTCTTATATATTATTCCAGATTGTAAATGGTGTTTCTATGTAATGAAATCACATAGATTATAACCATTTGTGAGGAAATTCTATTTTGAATAATTAATGTCATTATATACCTTTAATATATATTTCTCTATTTCAATCCCTAAAATCTTTTCACGGGAAATTAAAATAATAGTGATGAACAATATTTTAAAAATCAGTAATAATATCTACCTATAAATAATTGACTCTTAAGCAATGGGTAAATAATTGAGTTGGGTTTCATATGCAAAACGTTTATAATTGATCCTGCCATATATGGAATTTTTTTATTGATATAGGAAAAAAAAAATAATTTGAAAGATATATTCTTTGCACTTAAAAGGTTAATCTCGAGTTATCTTATTGTTAAAGAAAATTTACTGAAATTCACAAAAAACATGTATTATATG